ATTTATACTTTCTTTGTGTTCCTACATACAAATTGTTCTACAGCTTTTCACATTAGAGCAATTCTGTGTCATGGTTAAAAGTTTTTGTTCATATAAAATGACATTATATAAAGCAGTGAAACAACAGCAAATATACTTCAGATGATTGCATTTAATTGACTGTAATTGACTATACTGACCATATGAAATGAGGCTGTAATCTTTCTGTCACATATCAGAGCACAGAGAAAAGCTGTCCCATTGGTATTATTTGTCCATGTCAATCCACATTATCATTTCAAAGACATTTGGACAACCTGTTGATTACATGAATGAGAGGATTTAGTCTTTTGCTTTTATGATTAATTTATGATTTATTATCTGATACTGTAATGGTTAATGACAGTATTGTACATGAATTCAATATTTGGAATTTTTCTTCCTTGAGCATATGCTTCATCATTTCCTGATTTGCATGGGACCATGGCTGAGTTGCTGGCATTGTCAGAAAATATAATTTGCCTTTTTTCTCTATGTTGTGTCAAGTCACTTAGCAGGTGCCAACAGGAGGTCACTGGAGACATACACCAGAGGGATGGGTGTAAAGGGAGAAAACAGGAAGACACTAGAAAGCACTCCTCTTGTTTTCCAGGTTACATTGTATTAGTATTTTTGAATATTTACATAATCCTCTTACCTGTATTTTAGTAAAGAGCGGTCTTTATTTTTTTAGGGATGGCTTTTGTTTTACCCATTAACAGAAGTAATTTTTTAGCAAGAGGGTGACACAGGCCTTCTAAGCTTAAATATAAATATCTGTGTTCAAGGGATCTGAGAGTCAGCTGGGGTCACTTGCTTGGTGAATTGGTTTTACCCAAGGAAAATGGATCCTCTCCATTTCAGTGGCAGATACCAGACAAATCTCAAAGAATTAAAGAAACGGATTTGTAAGTACAACTGCACTTGTGAGGCTTGAAAAGCAAAATAGGCAAGAGCCTTCTTTAGCCAGAATCAGAGATGCAAAAAAGCCTGCATTCCAAGCAAGAGCAGATTTGGAAGCGAAAGAGATTTTGTCAAGAAGCATAGACAGAACTGCCTGTTTATTCAACCTCTTTAAAATGGGTAGTGGGTGGAAGCAGAGAGCCATGGAAGAAAGGAAGAAGAGGTACATTAGCCAGGAAGGCTAGTTTTAGAATTCAGAATAGAAAAGGGCATTTGACAATACTCAAGCTGAATCACATCTTGCAAAGGAAATTTAAGGGTTCACTGAAAGTATTTTTCAGTAGTGGAAACAGAAAGAAACTAAAGAAACAAGGGGAGTATTATGCAGTAAGGGTGAGGTGGAGACAAAAGGCATTGTTGATTTAACCTAGAAAATTAAGACCAAATGAGCTGCCCCAAATTTCAATAGCAGTGGTCATGAACACAGGGACATAATTTCTCTTAAACTGAAAAAACACACAGCTTTTAGTACTGAAGCACAAGGATTACTTTTTGTTGCATATGACAATTCTTTTTATCCTAACACAGGGTTGACTCAATCAGTCTGTGATGTGCTGTCCTTCACAGATCCTTTTCCCTTAGAATTGCCATACCACTGATCAGTCCCTTCTGTATGTACACTGCAGCCCTCTTTCTTGAATTGCAGCATGTATTTTCAGACTGTTTCCTTGTCTGATAAAATTACTGTGAATTCTGAATTTTAACAGTGTACTTTAGCTTAGTAGCATAATATTCTTTGCCTATTTAATATTGACAATTAATGCAAGAAAGATTGTACCAAAACAAAGCAACTTTTTGCAGTAGCACATTGCTGTATGGGTTAGGCTTAAGATACTCAAGAGGTACTTTCAAATTGATGATTGAAATCTGATTTTTAAAAAAAAGCACATTAGGGCTTTTTCTTTTAAGCTAGCAGTATGAAGAAAAAATAGTAGTAAGGCTTTATTGAAACTTTCATGCTTCGAGTATGGTATTTGTAGAAGTAACCTGGAAAAAATATGTGTCTACTGTCATGGAAATTTAGGCAGCTGAACCAATTCTATGTGTGTGTGTACAGGAGAGGGAGTACTATGTCAATGGCTGACTGGCAAGAGTTACTGATACAATGGAAAGTCAGAGAACCTCAACAGACCAAGGCTTCAGGGCTTAATTTGATACTCTCTGAAAAAGCAGATTATTGCTGCAAGAAAATGAAGTGGTCAGGGGAATAGAAATATGTTCCTTGCAGTAGTTCATTTGGTATTGAATGTAGCTATACAATCCAGATTTCTTAAATGAGTGCTGCTGGGAAGCAAGCAACTAGGCTTCTATACCAGCCAGCAAAGTGGCAAATGCAGTTTTCAAATGAAAATAAATATATCTAAAGCTTGCTGATGAACATCTCCCACATTGTTCTTTGTAGTGTGTTGCTTTCATTTTATACAGCAATTTTTACAGAAATTTTCTTTAATAGGTTTCAAAATCCTCTACCCTTCTTCAGAAATAAATTATGTTCATTCATGTATAGGGGGGCTTTCTAATCTTTAGTTTCAGCTGCCTTCTAGTATCTTCTGCTCCTCCAGCCTTCCTCCCATACCTTCCCTCCATCAAATATCTCGTTTCCTGCTGAAATATTTGTTCCATTTCCTCTTGCCTAAAATAGTTGTGGCTAAGCTACTACATTTTGATGATGTTTGCTATCCATTTGATTTATCATATGACTTTAGAGCATTTTTTCTCGTTTTAAGAAGTATTTTCCAGGAAGCAAACCTTTATTAAGAATATGTATGTATTATTTATGCATACATATATATATATGTGTGTGTATATATGTATATACATATATAAATAGTACATATTAATATTCATATTCTTGACACTTGTTGAAAGTATTATCATAGGTATAGATAAGGTAATCTTACTTTGGTGAACAAGACTAACTTTGAGATGAAAAGTAATTAAAATTAAATTGGTTTATTACTAAATAGAAATATTACTTATTTTTTCATAATTACTAATGCTTAGTAAATTTAGCTTTAATTCTTGTTTATAGGGTTTTTTCAAGTTATGGAAAATAATTCTGAAAATGTGCAAGTTGTATGCTTTTTCTTGCTTTTAATTCTTTCACCACAAATATAATTTTGACTTTAAATTATCAATTTTATATTGTAAATTAAAACTGGAGATCTGTATTTGGAAAGGCTTATAATACTAACACAGTTGCTTTTATGCGCATTTAAATGTAATAAATAGTTTTGTTAGATACTGTGTTTCTTTTACAGTGTGTTTTTAAGGTGGCTTCAGATTTACTGCTGGGAAAATCTTTAACATTCAAAGTAAATTGTTCTGGGAGGGAGTTTTTGATGTCCAATAGGAGCAAAGTACTACGATAAAAAAAACCCAGTTAAATTCCTTAAGGCAAACTTACCTCATTACCTCATTTATGGATCAGTATGCCAAGTTTAAAAAGAAAGGCAATTTCTTTGGAGCAATTCAAATGGCAGAAAATCTTGTGATAGTTGAATTGAACTAATAATAAACAGGAGTGCCAATAGAGTAATAGTAGGAAAAGGAAAAAAGCTAAGTAAATGTATTGTTATACATATTTGTTCTGAGTCATCTATAAAACTAACAGAAATTTAGTTGTTTCCAATACAAATCTGTTTCATTCTCTCTGTAAGACTTCAAACTTGATTCCCCACCTTTACACTTGCCAATGTAAAGGAGCATTTTATACCCAGTGTGTTCAGATTGTTTACTTTGGATTTTATCCAATGAAATTGATTAGAATCCAAGCTGTTCATACTCCTGTAAGTATGAGGGTCTTGTTTGCATATCTAGTCAAGCTTCATTTTACAGTATAAAACAACAACTATTACATTATATTTGCCACGTTGAGCTACACATATATGACATGGATGCACATAACTTAATGCTGTAAACTGGTAGCTCTGCCCTAATACTCAAGTTGGAATGGTAAGTAGGGAGTGCTATGTTGCCACTTCTGACAAGCAGTGCATGGGAATTTTAAGTGTAAATTCCTGTGCCTGTAGGAATTTGGGAAAATCACAGCTCATTAACTGTTTCTGTTAAAAGGTTGGCTTCCCTTTTGTAGAGGGATCCTGAAAGAACCATGAAAAACTCTTTTTCAGGAGTCATTGCCTTGCAAAGAGTCATGGTAATATCAGCCAGCTGCCTGATAGTATCATGGCATAATAGAAAATAATTTGTAGGGACCTAATTACCTGGAATAGCAGTATTTGATTGTATTGGATTTTTAAAGGAACTATTTCTGTGCCAAATGTTTTGTATCTTTCTGACATATCGTAAGAAAAGTGGGGTTTTTTCCTTACTTACTTAGTTATCCAGTGAAATCCTCTTGATTCTCTTGGTTCTAATGTTTATTTTCCTGAATTGTAGATTAAAACATATCTGGAAGAAATGAAATTTTAATCTAATAGCAGAGATAAACTTGAAGAATTTTTGTCTACCTCTGTGAATTTTATTGATGATAACACTTAATAGATTGAGATATTACTTCATTTAATGTTTTATCTTGAATGAATTTCAACCTCCATTGTGTTTAATCTATCTTTTACTTCCTAACATGTTATCTCTCTATATATGTATATATGACATTTATATGAAATGAAATAAGCAATAAACCCATGTCATTAAATAGAATAACATTTGAAAAAGGTACCTTTTTTCCATAATATACCATTAATTATTGCATTCAATTAAAAACTGGTAAGTCTGCTTAAAGATAATGTACAACTTAAAATTTGCCCAAATTTATATTCTGGATTTTCACTTACAAAATATATTTTGTTGAAACACCCCCTGCTTTCATTTCTTTAAAGATTAGTAATTATCCAATTATGTAATAGCTTGCAATAAAACAATTTAGAACTGGGAAAGAGGAGTGTTTCCCACTTTGATTAAGAACGTAGTTTAAATGTGAAGATTTTTAACAGACTACAAAATAAACACTTCAAAAAATATTTGTACTAAGGGTTTCTTTTCTTGTTGCTCTGCAGTCTCAGTTTGAACTCAGGGTATTCCATATCCGTGGAGAACATGCTGTCTCAACTGCTCAGCTTGAGGAAACCATTGCACATCTGAAGAATGAACTTGATAATAAATTAAACAGAAGAAATGAAAAAGCAAAGGATATTGGTGTTTCTACTGAAGATGATAACCCACCAAAGGCATACCGAAATGTATGTATACAGACTGACAGAGAGACTTTTATAAAGCCTAGTGAAGAAGAAAACAGAGCTGTGAAAAATAACCAAATAGTACCCAAAAAGCTTAATATTTCTTCTTTGACACATAGTATATCTGCCCAAAGTGAAAATAAGGACAATTACAATGTACAGTCATCAGAAAGTGTCTTGTCTTGTCAACCAAAACAAATGCTGCCTCCTCCACCACCACCACCACCTCCTCCCCTTCCTGATTCTTCACTGTCCACTGTAGTTCCTCCACCGCCACCTTTGCCAATGGGACCGACTTCACTGACATCTCAGTTTGGATCTGGTCCACCGCTGCCACCTCCACTTTCTGAAGGCTGTAGGAATTTTCAAGCACCACCACCACCGCCACCACCACCGCTTCCGGGGCTGGGACCTCCTGTTCCTCCTCCACTGCCTGGATCTGGGTTACCTCCACCCCCTCCACCTCCTGGGCCTGGGTTCTTTTTTAATAGCACTTTATCTTCAAACCAAGGTCCTCGAAAACCTGCCATTGAACCTGGCCGCCCCATGAAGCCTTTGTACTGGACACGAATACAATTGCAAGATAACAGGTAAATATATTTACTTAGAGTTGCTACTTACAGGTCAGCGCAGAGACATAATTCTAGGGAAAAAACCTGAATCAGTTCTAGAAGTCTGAAAAAATAAGTTGTTTTAAAATATTATATTTAACTTAAAAATTATATGTATTATAAATTAAACCCTTTTGCATCATAATAAAAACATATTTTATTTGGGCATTTTTCCCCAATATTTCAGGCACTGTGTGGATAAACCATAGTGATGGGGTGCTTCCCAGATTTAGCACTAAAATGAAAAAGGGTAGCCAAGAGATTAGAAAGATTTTTTTTTTCTTAAAATTAAGTCTGCATTTGAGTTAGAATTGAAATCTTAAATTTTTGTCAGGTGAGAATTTAGTTTAATTTTTGCTTTCCAGTCACTTCGTGATCCTTTCTCCAGAGAACTCTGTTGTGTCATCCTCTATGATTCCAGTTCTAGAAACTGGAAACCGTTAAACTGGAACCTAACCTCTGTGCATAATTCTGTCAGAGCAGGAAAAATTAAGCATATGTGTAAATATATGCAGCTCAGCAACCTGTAGCATGAAGTGTCCATTATGGACAAATCTGAGTACTGATGGAGACCTCTACAGCTTTAAAAAAACAGATATAAAATTTTAAAAAGAATATCCACCTTACTGTGATTTAGTGCAGAGATAGAATCCCAGATGTGTTTGAGGAAGGGATGCCATCCAGAGGGACCTTGATATGCTTGAACTGGGGGGCTGCAAACAAGGCCAAGTGCAAGGTCCTGCACCTCAGCTAGGGCAACTCCCAGTAACAGTAAAATCTGTGGAATAGAGAAGGTAGATTTAGGTAAAAGGTGAGGAAGAAGTTCTTTACTGTGAGAGTGGTGAGGCATTGAAAGGTTTCCAAAAGGAGCTGCAGATGCCTCTTTCCTGCAAGTGTTCAAGGCCGTACTGGATGGGGCCCTGCGCAGCCAGGTCTAGTTGAGGTTGTCCCTGCCCATGGCAAGGGGTTGCAATGAGATGATCTTCAAGGTTCTTTCAACCCAGGTCATTCTGTGGTTCTATAACAGTATTCTAGCAGTGTATTCAGTTGTATCAAATCCAAAGTTATACAAAATACACTGTTTTATTAATTCGTTTGTAAGGGGTCATTTGGCGAACAGGCATAAATAAACAATTTTTGGTCAGGCTTTTTGAAATCCTTGTTTATGCTGCCTGTTTATTTAGCTGACAGGAGAAAAGCAGTTCTCCCAGTCACACTTTCTGAAGCAACATTAATACCTTACTGCCACAGTTACTCAGCTGCTCTTTTTGGATTTGATTGATTCTGACTTTCCTTCTTGTGTTTATTACTATAATATAGAGCTCATTAGGAGTGATGGATCAAAAACTATTTTTGGGGGTTGCTTAAGTGACACAGACCATTTTATTTTAATGAAGAGTTGTTCCTTAATTCAGCTCCCGTATTAATGCAAGTAACGAAATTACATTATTATTTGAATCTTAAAGTTCAAATTATTATTGTCTGTGTTCAAAATTATATTAGCCTAGCAGCAGTTACCAAGATGCTAAATTTAAACATTTTAATAAGCTAAACTATATTACTATATATGGCTTACAGCCATAATGCATCACAATATTATATGTGCTATATAATATATACACACAGTATATTACTTATTATTATTATATTATTGTAATATACTACTATATTTTTGAAATTATTTATTATAGTTTGTTTATCCTGTAATAATTATTTTTATACATTATGTATTTATTTAAAATATTTAACATTATAATAATATCTTAATTTCAGGTTTCTCTATTATATTTAAACATGTTTTAAGTAAATATTTGCAATTAAGTGGATTTAAATATGAGTTTTATTTACTTTACAGGTCTGAATTTATTTTTATGAGAAAGTACCATTATTCTGGTATAATAAAACATTGTAAGATGTCCATGTTTTATATAAAATATTTGACAGGAGCAAAGAAATTACTGAAATGTCAGTTGTATAGTCTTAGTTTTTTAGAATTAAAAAGAATTAAAGTTTTTCAGAATTGAAATATTTTAGAGCAGGAGGCTTGAACATTTTGGCTTTACTTTCCCAGTATTTCTTTGGCATAATTGTTCCGCAGTGAATAAATAGTTGGTCCATAAATAAACTTTATTCTTCCCATTGAATCAATTAAATAAAAGTTTTCTTTCTGAGACAATGCTGGTTCACCAAGCTTTTGCAAGGTAAGGGATAATTCATAGCATTCTGATGAACTGCTGGTCACCACGTGTAATGGTCCAGCATTTTCATGGTCTGTATTAGAACTGGAAATTTCTTCAAGGGTTTGCTGCTCAGATCAGGAGCCATCCAGGACTTCTTGTTGCAGAGCCCGAAAGAATCCTTCATTCTTCAGTATTGCTAACACAACTGTCCTGGTTCAGGGACAGCAACAAATATCAGGAAGAGCAAAGCTGTGGAACTCTAAGCATGTCCTGTGACGTGGAATATATTGCATCAGCAGATGCTATTCGAAAAGAATGAAAAGTTCCTTAAACATTCATGATAGTAGACAGTTGAGTGTTAAGTAGAAAAAAAATCCTAAATTTGGAAAAAAAAAAAATAGTTCCTTTTGAATTGGTAGGTATTCCATTTTGTCGCATATTACATCTATGTTTAGTGACATCAGCCATTTGTATTTTATAGCAGTTTTCTTCACTTGGTTTTAATTGCAAATAATTTCACTGCCTTTTAGTGACATCTGCTGGAAGACATGGTCCCACCTTCTACTGATAAACAGACAAGAACACTCAGAAGTTTTGTCCCACATATTTTTCTGAAACATTGAAATTTTTGAAACAAGGCCCCTCAGAATTGATGTGCAGTGTTTGTAGCACTACATATTATTTTCCCCTAATCCAGATAAAACTAGAGGATTGTGTAAACAAGCTCCCATATGATCCAAAACTAAATCTGGTCTTGGAAGGCAAGAAAAGAAGGAAAGATAATCCACATTTAAAATTGGCAGTTGGTTGAATGGAGAATACTGGCTAGTCTCCCAAAATATAAGCCACATAATTACTCTAGTTCCTCAGAACTACAACAAGGATAAATATGAGCATACAACATCTGTGGATAGCATGAAGTAAATCAGGTCCTATACAAATTTCCCCAAACACTCTTAAAATATGCTTGAATAAAGTTTGTTCACTATTTGTTGATATTGTTTATTTTTATAGGTCTAAACAGATTACTGGGAATTTTAAAAAAATCTGACATTGGAGTACTTCTAATCCTAGTTGAAGTGGCAGAAATCTCTTGACATGTATTTGCACAAGCTGCCATTGTTGCACAAAGAAGGGTACACTATGACTGATGCATGGACTAAATAGCTCAAACTAAAAACTAAAACTCATAGGAAAACTTTTGACTCCTTACAGGAGCAAGATATAGGAAAGGAGTGCTCTGTGTATTGCTTTGAGTTTAAATCTACCATGGATTTTAATCTGTTATGGTTAGATCTATTATTGTTTCTCATAATGTTTAGAAATTATATTACCTTTCTCTTTATAGGAAAACTGCTATGCCAACATTATGGGAATCACTGGAAGAACCTGATATACTTGACACTACTGAGTTTGAATATTTATTCTCCAAAGACACCACTCAGGAAAAAAGAAAACCATTATCAGAGACTTATGAAAAAAAAACCAAGGCCAAAAAGGTATTTATTGTTTTTTTTGTTTGGGTTTGGGATTTTTTTTGTTGTGGTCCTAAATTTGGATTTTGGTTTTTTGGGTTTTTTTGGGTTTTTTTTTTGGGGTTTTTTTTTTTTTTTTTTTTTTTTTTGCTTTTGTGTGTGTGTGTGGTACTGTTTAGTCTTTCATTTTGAGTAAACTCCCTTTTAATTTTTGGATTTTTTGTGAATGATCAAGAAAGAAAACTATGGATTGCTGATTCAATCTCAATTCTCTTGCTTGAGAATGCAGGGCTGTGCTTTACCTTGGAAAATCTTTTACCTTTGCTACTGAAAGTTCCATATTCCAGTGAGGTAGAAAAAATACTGTATAGGAGAATAGAATTAAAGTTCTAATTAATATCTGAATGTGCCAGTATTTCCGGCCATTATTTACCCTTGAGCTGATGTATGATTAATGCCTGTCACTAGTTACTCCAGCAAACCTCTCTTTCACTGGGATTAATTTTATTGGAAAAATAAAATTTAAAGTAAAATTTTAAATAAGGAATGCCAATTTTTTTTCCAGGATAACTAAGGAGTTGTGTCAGGAAGGGGCAGGACAGTCATTTCGTTAATAGCCAAAGCTACATGCAGTAGCTGCGTCATTGCCGTAGCGCAGATGCGGTCAGCTTCAGATACAATCCATTACAGAGGCAGCTGGCACTTGCCAGTTGGGATGTGCAGACAGGAAAAGTAGTAGTATTTACTGCCAGAAAAAATCTGGACTGAATAATAATCAATACTGCTTTCCTAAAACAGTGTGGTTACGTGTCAGAAACTACTGAAACATTTATTGTTTTAAATCTCTTTGAGTTTACCTGCTTGGAACCACAAGAGGGCACTTTGCATGTGAGCTGTGCTTGCTACCTTCAGTTTTATAATACATAGAACATGAAACATGTGTACATGCTGGGGCTTTCAGATCTTTCAGAACATCTTTGATCATAAATTTCCTATATTATGTCTTAATGCAACAGCTAATGAGAAGTATCAGTAAGGCTGTAGAATTTATAGAACTCAAATTCATGCAATGTAAATAATTAAAAATGGGGCCTGGATGGGGACATGCTGGCATTTGTAAATACACACCAAAGAAATAATTGTTATAGTCCTTCAAATATTAGGTTAGGTTCAAACTAACCAAATATGTTGATTATGAACATCTCTGTGAAAACTATTTTGAGATATTTTACTTGAAAAATACTTGAAGTAAATGGGACATGTAGCAGCAGCTGTATCCATAAATTCAATTAGGTCACATATCTTATGCCTTCTTTCTAATATTTATTTTTAGATTTCATTAATTTACTTTTTTCAGAAATAATTACATAATAGGAAATAGAGATTTCTAAAGAACTTTGAAGAATTTAGTCACTGTTACTTTAATGGGGAATTAATATGTACAAATAGTTGCCTTTTTATTTCAAAATCTCAGTAATTAAGGGAGTATATCTACTTCTCCAAGGGGTTGACAGCAAACCAGCTACAGAATTAGGCCTGTATACTGAAAGATGAAGTTTTGGGGTTTTTTTTCCTTGCTGCTTTGTAAACTAACTTATTTGTTTGAGCAGCTTGATTTTTTAGTGATCTCTTTTGGCTTATCCGAAATTGAATTGGGTAATTCTTACAGAACATATTGTTATAATACTATGCATTATTTTTTGTGAGCAACCACTGTATTTTCATACAAAGACATCTTTTTTATTTCTATCAATGTTTTAAAATTCTGCTTTGTTATTAGAGGTAAACTTACTATTTTAAGACAATGGATATTTTACTGAAATTAATGAAATTAAAAAGGTTCCTTTAAATTACTGTGGAAAAATAGAAAAATAAATTCCCTTAGAAATAAATTCAGAATTATATCTATTACCTTGTTCTTAGTTTGGAAAACTGATGGGATTGTAATGATGGTGTTACAAACCATGGGAACTGTAGGATAAATTGTAGAATTTACAAAAGTCGTGGTCAGTAGTGCAAAATTACATCATTTGGTCAAATCAAAAACTAAAAATAAATCTGCTTTTAGAATTTAAAGAAACATTTAATTGAGTACAGAAGCATTTTCTTTTAGTGTATCCTGTCTTTCCACCTTTTTCGGTTAAATGACTCACAGTAGCAGCTGAATGTTTTTACAGACAGTTGGCCCTCTTAGATGCTCCTGTGTTTTTTTTGTCCCTCTGGAAGCTCAGATATATGCAGGCTGGCTCCAGTGGATCAGTCTTGGTGGGCTGCAAATGATACAGTAGTAGAGAGGCATTTTATTTACTTACAGGAGGATTTATTAGTAGATAATAACAGAGAACTTCTGTAGATCAATATAAAGCTGTCAGTTTGACTGGTTTCATTTCTCATGCTTCTTTTGGCTCTCAAAGTTTCTTGCTTTTTCCCTAACAATTATATCTACTAGGGTTTTAGCAGGAATCTTTTTCTTTGCTTCAGTACATAAATTTCTGTTTGTCTGGTCTTAAAAAGGGTACCAGTGTCACATTATAGGGAATTGTATAGCCTGGTTAAAGATGCTTTCTACAGGCATTAAGAAACACAAATCTTATATGAGGCTCATCATATATTACAGATTTAGCTGATGCCCTGTCATTATGTGCTTACTTATAAATTCCTTTTTCATGTTCACTAAAAAAACCTTCCAGAGCAAGATTTAGGTACAGCAATGAAGTTGTAGCTTGTGTTTGAAATAGTTAAGCTGTTTTATTTAATGATACCTGGTAAGTCTGACTCACTCCCTGCACTGAACCTCTTCTCTGCACAAACTATGCCTTATTTCATAGGATCTTATACAAAGTTCAGCTTCCTTGGTATTTAGGGAAATGACAGACCAATAGATGGTGCAGGTCTGCTAGTTAAAACATGATTGTTCAATATTTTGCTCCTTGAATGAGAATTACATCAGTGCCTCACAGTCAAATTCCTTTTTCAATTGGAAGTAAGATTTTTATCTTTTGAATTAGAGGGTATTAACTCTTTTGCAATTCCAAATAAAACAATATTACTCACTTTATTCTCAGAATTATTAGTGTTGTGAAACTGGTTGGAATAATCTGTATGCTTAGGCTGTGAAATGAATGCTTCTTTGGAGAGCCTATAGAAATTTCAGTTTATGGGTATTCTTACCCATTTTTCCAGGTAGTAGACACTGGCAATACAGATTAAAAAATTCACTGTATGCTCTGCTTTTTTTTTACTCACAGCTGATAGACATGTGCCATTTTTAGCCAGAAATGTCTAAATGTCCTATGTAAGCTGCACCAAGGAGATTTAAGTTGGACATGGAAGAATTTCTTCACAGCAAGGGTGATTAGCCATTGGAATGGACTCTACAGGGAGGTGGCAGAGTTACTGTCCCTGGAGGTGTTTAAGGAAACACTGACTGTGGCACTCAGTGCCGTGGTCTGGTTGACATGGTAGTGTTCAGTCACAGGTTGGACTTGATGTCAGAAATCTTTTTCAACCTGATTGATTCTGTGATTAAGATAAATAGAATAGCTGTTCTATTTCCCAGTACCATTTGGCAAGTTATGCTCAGAAAGGAAACTTCTGAGTATATATTCATATTATACATATATATTTATACTCATATATATTATACAATTACAATATAATAAATGTTTAATAAAATGAATATTTAGAATATGTCAATAATATTTCAATATATCATCAATAATATTTCTATTCATGCATATATATACTCACTGTCAAAACAGGAGAATACACTGAGGACTCTGTGGACTTCTCTGCTGGTTGTAGTGACTTTGGTATTTTCACTTATTTCTTGGATAGTAGAATACTAACGCTGCAGCCACCACCTATTTGCGAGAGGCTTCAAATGTACTGAAGTAGATCCTTCACAAAGCTTTCTGATCTTTCCTTCACAAAGCTTTCACAAAGATCTGAGATCTGGTCTGACAGACAAAAATAAGCACAAAGCTAATGCAATTAACCACAAGGTTAATATGATTACGAATATTCAGCTACCTAAAAAATCAGATGGGGTACAGCTGGCTAACTGACTGTTAATAGTTCAGCAGAAAGAGTCTTGACATTATAGTGGCTCACAAGAACATGAGTTGTCAAATCATGGTAATACTAAAAATGAAAAGCAGAACTCTGATAGATCAAGAAGTATTGCTTGCAAGACACTACTCAGCCATGTCTCAGTTAAGAACTGCATCTACATTTAGGCACTACAACCCTTCATTAAAAATTTGCTAACTGTAAAGAGTCAAGAAGAGAGAGAATGATGAAAAGTAAAGTAGTCTCTAAGGAAAGAATCAAATTATTATGATTGTTTAGTCTAGAAAGGAGAAGGTTGATTGGGACACACAGTATAAGTGTAATCAAGTGCATGCAGCTGCTGCAAAGAAAAATTATGGAAAGCTTTCTAAGAGCAAGGATACTGAAGGAATGCAGAAAAATTTTGGCTAGGGAAATTGTGTTTCTGTATTTGGAAATCTTTAGGAAAGTTTATTTAGAGTGGTACACATATAATTGATAACTGTCTTGAAGTGCAGAAATGCTGTGAATGACATTTTGAGTGCCTTTTCAACATCTTGATGCTGTTAATCAATTAAGACATAAAGTCCGCCTTCTGTCCATTGTCCTATGGATTGAAACAGCTGGCTATACTTCTTTCAAAAACACTGTCATGATTCCCAAATTTGTTGCATTCATGCTAGATAGAAATGGCTTATTGGGTTGCACTGATTTCTATAGGCTTCTGACAAGTATGTGGGGGAAGAAAGGAAGGGAAATTAAGAATCTAAGTAGCAATGATAATACAACTTAAAGGACTGCATAAAAGGTGATTTTACTTATTTTTAAAAATATAATAACTTATTTTGATAAAATGTAGTTCATTCACTTGATGGTGATACAATGTAAACCCAATATAGGTTAAAGGAAGGTCAGGTGTAACTTTCTAGTACACAAATATGTATACTGGAAGACGTGAAGTTTGTTATGGTAAT